CTTGGGCGGGCGTGGGGCTAATGGAGAAAATATTAAAGTTCATGGTGGTTAAAGGTGAGCATAAACAAAGTTTAGCGAGACTTATCATAAAAACAAACCCAAAACTTCAGCGTTCAAGGCGCCTCCGTCATGTAAAAATTAATCTTTAACTAACCTATAAAATGTCTTCTGGACTTTAAAAACCCACTTACACATAGCATGGTTTTATTCACCCTGTCACCCGATCCCCGGGGGGGGGGGGGCTATTCGAAGCGGGAAATATACTACTTATAAAAGAGAATACCCATGTCAAAACTTCTGATTTCCTTTCTCATCCTCTAAAATTTTGATAATTAACAATTATACCATTACTTTTAATTAATCTTTAACTAATTATCTATAACATCTTATTAATCGGGACCTTCTTACTTTCCCATGTATTTAGGTATTCACTAAAACTAGTGTGCACCCCGTGCAAAACACGACTTCAATTTTTTTATTTCTGCTACAATAATTCTATATTTAAACATATTTTTTATAAGTGCTACGATAATATTTTTTAATGTTACAGTATCTCGTCTGGGTTACAGTAATAATTCTATAATATTTTTTATTGTATCATAAATAGTGAACTTTAGATCCTCCTGTTTGTGCTACAGTAATAATACTATAATAATTCACTGTAGCATGAATAGTGAATCTTGGATCTTCCTATTATTATAGAGGAATAGATGTAATTAACATAAATACCTTTACAATGATAAGAAAATTTATAAAATATGTTATAATTTATTATATATAATTATAGATAATTATTGATTATAATAAAATCGTATAAAATTATTAGTGTAATAAAACATTTCATAAAATAACTATACATAATTTATTAAAAAATATATTATTAAATTATTAAATGACTATTTATAAATAATATTCTAAATAAAATAATACATCGTTAAATATTCTTAAAAGTATATTGCCATCCACTACTTATAAATATCTTATTAAATTGTTAAATTCCTATTATAAATTATAGTAAAATAATAAAATGTTATTATAAATAAAATAACACGCTATTAAATATTCTTAAAAAGTTTATTATCATTCAATAAATGCTAATAAAATTGTATAAATATTTAATAGTAAAATAATATAATTATTTTAATATTATAGCTTAACTAAGAATTACACTATTATTTAATACATTAGAGTGAATAATAGTACTATAATTATACTACATATAGATATTATAAATAAGAATAGTTATAAATAGCATATAATTTAGTATAATTATTCTAAGTTACAAATAAAAATATTATATTATATATTTGTTCTAAGTTAATTATTCTAATCCTTTAATTTGTGATAAGTATCTAAATAAATTATGATTAATTATAATAATTATCTATAATATAAAATTACTCATACAATTATTTATACACAACTTTATTTATTAATGTAAATATTTATTAATTTTTCAATTTAATAATTTATATTAATATAAAAGTTATTTCATAATTTTGTACACAAAGAAAAAGAATTGTAGACAAAAAATAGTATGTGTACATTATACTAGTAAAGGGAAAAAGTGAAAAAGAGCTGCACTGGGCCTCGAAAAACCCACAACCCAGAGGCCCAACAAACATCGTCGTACAACACCACGCTTTTAATCCATTTCACTCTTGGACAAAAATCCCACCAGGGTTTTAGAGAGAGAGGAAAAAAGAAGGCGATGAGGAGGCTGAGATGGTTCACCGACGGCGGCCAATGGGATCTTGACATGGAATCTCCGGTAACGATGGAGGGCACTGCCCGCGCTGTGCCCGGAGATCCCCTCCCGCTGGGCCTATCGCGGGGCCCACGCGTAACCCGGCCCAAGCAGCTGGACTTCATGCACCGCTTCATGGCGTCTCCGCTCGTCCCCTCCTACGCCGGCGACCCAGAGGCCCAACAAACATCGTCGTACAACACCACGCTTTTAATCCATTTCACTCTTGGACAAAAATCCCACCAGGGTTTTAGAGAGAGAGGAAAAAAGAAGGCGATGAGGAGGCTGAGATGGTTCACCGACGGCGGCCAATGGGATCTTGACATGGAATCTCCGGTAACGATGGAGGGCACTGCCCGCGCTGTGCCCGGAGATCCCCTCCCGCTGGGCCTATCGCGGGGCCCACGCGTAACCCGGCCCAAGCAGCTGGACTTCATGCACCGCTTCATGGCGTCTCCGCTCGTCCCCTCCTACGCCGGCGATCCCTCTAACGGCGGAAGAGGCCTCCTCTTTCACCACGCCCACATCCTTCATCTCGCCGAGAATTGGTACTCAAAATTTCACCTTTGCAGATTACCCCTCAATTGAATTCTTATGGCTGATTCTCATTGCAGTTGTTGAAATTGTTAAGATGGAAACCCTTTTGAAGGTCAACCCAAATGCGATATGAATTGGGTTTTTCTTTGTTTGGGTTTCCATTCAGTATTTTCGCTTTAAAGGATTTGCCCAAAAAGAATTAAGCTCCATTAAGTTTTGTTCCTGACTCTAACCATGCTATTTGGCACAATTCAATGGTTTCAAATATCTCTACCCAATCAATATGAATTTGAATTCAATGGCTAAAAAAAAACTATTGTGGGATTGTGGTCTGGTAAATTTCAATTTCATCAAATGTTAGCTGATATTGATTTGGAAGTACATGTAATAGTGTGGACCTATATCCATGAAAACCAGGTTTATGAAGTGCAATATGACTAAAGCTTTAGATGTATTTGTTACTGTGTAACAATGTTGGAAAATAAAAAACTATGCTACGCAAGTGTTATTTGGTATAAAAGCTCTTTTTTGCTACTTAGAACTGTGAAATAGTGCAGACGTAATTTAGCATCGCAAAATTTCCATATAGTGTGCGCCTATGTTACGCGCCATAAGACATGCAATGTAGCTTGCATTACTCACATGTCAACTAGGTTTATAAGCCCAACGCTGCTCGCCAAATTCCTTGCCCCTAACTTTTCCCTTCGGGCCCAAATCTCTAATTCCTCAAATTTCACCTTTTCTGCTCCTTTTTTGTTTCTTTTTTTATTACTTTTTTTTTTCTTTTTTGCATAGCCCATTTTAGTTGTTGGGTTTTTTGAGGACGTGAATGATTCTCACTGCATTGTTGAAAATGATTCTCACTGCATTGTTGAAATTGTTTGATGAAATTTTCAAATAGAGCCCAATGGTAATTTGAATTCAATGTCTATTCAAATGAAAATAAAAAATGTGTGATTATGGTCAGATGGGTTTCAGTATCATGAATTATTTGTCGGCATTGGTTTGCTGGTAAGTGTAACACATAGACTTTTAATTAAGTTAGCTCATTCGAAGAATGTGGCCAACATTTAGAATTAGGGATTAGAGTTAAGTATTCTTTTTGACAGTTTACACTTTATAGTCTTGTTTTTTTTCCCAATGGAGCTGCAGGGTTGTTTTAGTGCAATGTGACCAAAGCTTTAGATGTATTTTTTACCATGAGAGTGAGGATAGACATGATAAATTAATTTGCTTTTATTTTTCCCTATGAAATCATACGTAATACTTTTAGTGCATGTGGTATTTAGCTAGGCTCTTGACATGGAACATTGGAACACTTTATATTGTTCATTTGGTGATGGCTCTTTGTTAGGTACTTAGGTTGTAGATTGGCACTTAATTATAGAAGAAATAGACAGATACAGTATTGTGTAATTGATTTTAAAGATAGTGCTACCAAACTACTGTATTCTGTAAATCTGATAAAAATGATTTAAAGTTACTGATTAAAGTTTTATGCCATCATGTAATGTAATGACTTTGAAATAATTTTGATGAAAGAGCTGAAGGGGGTTATGCATTGTGTTCCATAAATTTTCATCTGTATGTTCCTGACATTAATTTGAATCACCACTAGGCATTATGTATGCACTAATTTTCTGCTTGAAGTTATTTCTTCTACCACTTGTTTTTTTATATACTTGATTAATAGCCTCTTGATTTTTTTTCACCAGAACCAAACACATTTTGTTCCTACACGATTCTCAATTTTCCTTGGTCCTTCTTGTATGTTCTTTCTTTTCTTGGGTTCATAAGTAAAATTTTGCAGGTCCGCAACTGTATTGGAGCAGTTGAATGTGCAGAAATTATTTTCTTTAGTAAAAGAACATGTATCAAATCAAGATGAAAAGAGCTTATGGCTGAAGAGCTTAGGACGGCATATGGTTGACATATTTTCTCTTGGTTTTGGCACAGAATTATTCGTGACACCTGAGTCGTCTTTACTAGTTGAAGCATATAATCTTAAGCAGGGAACTCGTAGTAAAGCAACTTTCCAGCACAAGGCAAGTCCTTTTACTAACTTCTAGAACTTGACGACTATCAGTTGTCCTTTAAATTATGCATTATGGGCGAAGACAACAATTTATGAGGATTTTCCTTTTTGCAGTGAGAAAATGCTTTTTCCTTAAAGATTGGTTTTGCTGTATTTTCGCTTCATTGTCTTTTGAGTGATTATGTTCAATCTGATTAGCTTTCTCCGTGGGGTTATATTTGTTGCTAGAATTATATTGCAGTCACTGTTTATATCTGGTGGACTATATATGCTACCATTCTCTTTCAATTTGATTGTTGCACTCTAGAGTAGTTTGATGAATATACTGTCTTTTTTTAAGTGAAGATAATCTGAGCAACAAATTAATGCAAACAGTTATGCCATACTATGAGATATTCTGTTAAAAACAACTACTTTTACTCTGTAGTTTACCACCTAAGTATGCTTCTGGTCATTTGCCAATGAGTGCTTCTTGTTTGTGAGCATTTCATGTGGTTCTTTTAAAGGCGTTTGTCTGTGATGATTATGAGTGCTTGTTTTCGAACCTGATGTAGCATCTTATATGTCAAAGATATTTATTTTTCTCTCTTAAGAGCATTAAATATTTGATCAAATGCTCATCTCCATTGTCGTATACACAGTAGTGCAAACTCTTATATATTGTTTATTTTGCTGCGCATGTTTAAGGTTGTGTCCTGCTTTTTTATTATACATAATTCATGTTCACTATATCCTCAACTTAGTGGAGTTTGTTTCTCTCAGTAGAATGTGATTCCTGATCTGATGTGCAGTTTCCTCAACACAATTTAGTAATGGAGGCTGTTTGTCCTGGTCTATTTGTTGATAAACACGGCACATACTGGGATGTACCATTGTCGATGGCTATTGATCTTGCTTCAATTACTTCAGGTTCTGGCTTAAGCTATCACTTATGCTTACAGCATAATAGTGGACAACCCAAGCATTTTGGTGGTGATCAAACCAGTGAAATACCTATGTCCCTTCTGCCTGGTTTATGTGCTAAAGCTGCTGTTTCCATTAGAAAGAATATAGACATTTGGAGAAAGAAAGAAGGCAAGCTAAAAATGGTTCAACCATATGATGCGCTGCTTTCAGATCCTCACGTTTCAGTATCAGGAATCATAGGTAAGCCTTCATCTTAACTTACATGCAATTTGAGTGATCCGTTCTTTCACTTTTCAAGTGATGTGTTACAAATTTAGGGTTAGTTGCACATAGACTCCCTGAGTGAATTTGGAACTTATTATCCCTCTAATATTATTTTGATTTTGGTAGATAGACTCCATGTGTGAAATTTTGACTCTTTTACTCTCAGGGGGTATGTTTGTCCAAAAACAATTTTCTCTTCCTATGAGGCTAAAGGAATATTAAAGAAGGGAGAAAAAATCACTCAAGTGGTCTATCTGCCAATATCAAACTAGGGATAATAAGTTTCAAAGTCCAATGCTACTGGGGGTCTATGTGCAATTAACCTAAACTTTAATCTACTACATGAGTACATGGGCAGTCTTTCAACATTGTCACAAAGTCTTGTTTGAACAGCTTGAATAATGCCAACCACTGCCATTGAAATAGTATGGTAGAAAGTAATAGGACTTATGTACTTGTATCTCTTTTGTCTGGTTCACCCATCTCTATTTGTGAGTTCTTTCTTTACCACGAGCTATTGCTCATTAAAAATCCACAGTGCATATTAATCTGAATTTTTATTTTCTTTTGTAAACAGTGTTTCATGCTCAAGCATTCTTCCTTTCTTACAGGTGCAGCAGCCATTGCATCCCAGGGAGATAAATTAGCTAGGCTTTCTATAGAAGACGAGACAAAGACACTGAAGTCATTTTCATTATATTCTCAGAAAGATAATCGTGCTCTCTTTGCTGATCTCTTTGCCGTTGTCTCTTTCTCTGCACAGCATGGAAATTTCCAAAGGCTCTTTCTTGATCTGACGAGGCTAAATGCACGTTTAGATTTCCGTTCAGTTTCAACTTTTGCAGCTGGTGCTGTTTGTCTTGCAGAAAATTATTACAATTCTCAGCGACCAGATCTAGAGGCTCTCCATGCTGTTTGTCCAGATCTATCGGTTTCACTGCAACAACAGGTACACACTGGAGATTGTCACATCTGGCTTACATGCATTTTCATTTCGTCGATACTGCTTGAGAAAATTTGAAAATTTAGTGCAAGTGAAGAAAACTTGCTTTTTTTGGTCTGGTTATGTACAAGAACTGTGTGAGCAAATGCTTCATCACTATGTTTTTGGGTTCAGTTCCATGAATCTTTTATCTTCATTGACCTTAGCAGGGGTCACCTCTATTGGTAAAGCTTCGTCAAATTTGCAAATTGATGATCTTTGCTAGTGTTTCACTATTTTCATTTGCGCTATAATGATCTTTCAACTATGATTATATAGATTTTCTTTTGGATTATATAGATTATCGGTCGAAATGAAGTGCTTTTGTTCTAACGTAAACTTTATTGGTTGAGAATGCAGATCGTCGGACCTTTCAGTTTCCGTGTTGATTCTAGAATTAAATTGGATCCAAGAAACAATAACTATTTTGCCCAGCTTGATGAGTCGGTTTTCGCGATTGATTGGGCTCTGAAGGTTCTTGGCTCAGCGAAGGCTTCTTTCTGGTATGCCCCGAAGCAACAGGAGGCCATGGTAGAGCTACGATTCTTCGAGAGCTGATGAAATCAGGTACAGTTTACCTTAATGTAATTCTCCATCGTACTTTACTCAAATTTATACCCAATTATTGTATGCTTGTCTAGATGTGATCTCTTACTTTGTTGACTGTATAGACCAATTTATCCAAGTCGTGTCGTGTCATTTTCAGTTCAGTGTAATGAAAAGGATGGAAACGAAATGTATCAACCTCGGGGTTGGATTAATCTCTGCCATAAGACCAATATGGCTGCCTTGTAAGAAACGAAATGCGTCAATCTCAGGTTTCGATTAGTTTTAGGGTACACTTCACTAAAATCCCCGTAACTTTGGCCCTTTTTCAGATCATACCCCTGAACTTTTTATTTTTTTAATTCCACGAAAATGCCGTAAACTTTGTGTGGTTTTTCACATCCCCCCAACCCCACAAAAAAAAAAAAAACCTTTTATTCCACTAATCACTAAAAAGAATTTTTAATTTAATCAATCTAATGTAGTTCCTCACATGCCAAGAATGCGACAAATAAAGATGAAAAAACCCTCGAGCCCTCAGAAGATTACCCTTTTATACTTTTTATTATTTTCATTAATTTTGTGACGGCTGAGGGGGTATTTTCCGCTTTTTTGTCACATGTGTGGCACATGAGAACTTGACAATCTTATTTTGGGTGGTCAGAGTGAAAATTCTTCAAAGAGTTTAAATGATTAAAAGAAGCTCAAGGGGTTATCCGAAAACCCCCTCAAAGTAAAGGGGTTTTATGAAATTAAAAAGTCTAAAGGGGTTATCTGGAAAAGGGCTAAAGGTAAGGGTTTTTTTGTGAACTTTACCCTTTGTTTTATTCACCCTGTTCTGATTTATCATGGAAAAGTTGTAGTAATATGAAATTTTAGGCTTGTGGCATTGTTTCTGAGGGTTTATTGTTTTTGTAATGTTTACACACTGACTTTTGATTTATTTACATATACAGCGTAACGCTTCATTATATTTTGTGTTGTGTCATGCACGCGACATGCAGGAATATTGTTTGCTATTAAAAACTTGGCATCTTCATTCAAATATGTATCTAGTCTATATTCTCTACATAGTTGTTTTCTATTAGGGTGGCATTAGGGGCACACCCCAACCATAACTCCAACCACACCCCCTCTCTCATTTGCTACAGTGCATCGGGCCTCATATGAGATTTTAAAATTTTAAAATCCCATGTGGGGTCCGGTGCACTGTAGCAAATGAGAGAGGGGGTGTGGTTGGAGTTGTGGTTGGGGGTGTGCCTCTATCATTTTCCTTTCTATTAAAGGCATCTGCATCTTGGTTCGGATTCTTTGAATGCCACTTTCTTGTGCTCACAATCCGCATGGGAGACTTCATCAGTATCCTAAAGAATAAATTTTCACTGTAGACCCAAATGACCTTTTAATTACCAAAATCGACTTTTTTTTTAATTACTAAAATCGACCCGTTTTATGCCACGTAGGCTTAATCCCGTTTCCTAATTAGTCGGGGTTGCCAACCCCGACTGTTTATGAGTTGTTAAACCCTAATTAGAAGCCTTAAAACCCGATTTGTAATACCCTAAACAGTCGGGGTTGGCAACCCCGACTAATTAGGAAACGAGATTAAGCCTACGTGGCATAAAACAGGTCGATTTTAAAAATTAAAAAAAAAACGGTCGATTTTGGTAATTAAAAGCTCATTTGGGTCTACATTAAAAATTTGTTCTATCCTAAAACAGAAGCAATAAGAGTTACGGCAACGTGCACAGCCGTCACTTTCTTCGCTTTTCCCCATAAAGTACTACATTAAAGCTGAAAATATGATTAAGAATCCAGTGTAACATTTTATTGTTCTCAGAAGAGTGCAGTTTATTGTAACTCCATGTAACTTTTTCCGGTTAATTAGCACGTAGATTCCTTTTCTTCTCATCTTTCTTTTCATCTTTGTTCCAATTGTAGGTTGGAAAAATTGCAATAGAAGAGAATAAAGAAAATTGACTTGTATTCCTTTAATTCCGATTACAACTTGATTACAAAAGAGAAGAGAACGAATTTGATTCTCTCCTTTGTTTAAAACTGGGTTCTTCACGGTGGCGATGGAGTGCCTCCCTCGAATGCTCGCGTCGAGTTTGCTCTCCGTTGACGATCCGCACGTCTTGATTCACTGGAACGATGTCTTCTCCTCACGATTTGACGTTGTGGAGAACTTGCGTGGCAAGTTTTAGAACTCTTGATGAGTTGATAACTCTGAACGAGTTTTAACTCTTGAAAAAGAGTTGATTTGAACCGAAAGTCGGTTATAAGCCAAGGACAGAGGCTTTCTGTTGCTGAAGTTGAAGATGATCTTCGTTGGAAGATGATGCCGATCTCCTCAAAAGCCTGTCTCCAGTGGTCGATCCAAGCCAAGAAAATCCAACCTTGCTGCCCACTCTCAGATCCGAAAAAAAATGCCAGCCCCTAACTTAGTTGAGTTTACCCATATTTATAGGGAATTAAGGGGTGTAACCGCCCCCTTAATTCTCTCCATAGTGGGGCGGAAATCCCTCAAATCTTTAGATCTTTAGAATCCAACCTGTGTGGTTCAGATGCCAAAAATCCAACCTTGCTGCCAATTCTCAGATCCAAAAAATCCAGCCAAAATCCCCCGCCGCGCCCGGAACTCAGTTGAGTTTATCCATATTTATAGGGAATTAAGGGGTGTAACCGCCCCCTTAATTCTCTCCATAATGGGGTGTAACCGCCCCCAAATCGTGGGAAACGGTTTTAGAACCGTTCAGCTCATGTTGAATGAGTCAAACAATGCCCACGTTGGCGTTCAGGATCCTAACTCCACATTTTAGACTGGAGACGCGGAGTTGGGTACCCGCAGGGCGTAGAAAAACGCGAGGGTCGACCTTGGTGTTTTTGATGTTGTGACGCGGGGTTCGACCCTGGCGTTTTTTGATGTTGTAACGCGGGTTCGACCTTGGCGTTTTGATGTTGTAACGCGGGTTTCGACCCTGGCGTTTTTTGATGTTGTGACGCGGGGTTCGACCCTGGCGTTTTGCTGTTGTAACGCGGGTCCGACCTTGGCGTTTTGATGTTGTAACGCGGGTTCGACCTTGGCGTTTTGATGTTGAAACACGGGGAGGACCTCCGCGTCTTGCCTTGCAGAGATTATCACCAAGTAATCTTTTTTTGTCATAGCGTTGCAAAGATCATTGTCTTGTAATCTTCGTCTTGGCTCCTTGAGAATATGAGAGTCGTCAGATTGTAACTCCCGATGTTGATTGTGAAGGCTGTTGAAGTAGAGCTTCCATCAGTTGTCATGAAGGTCGTCAGATTGTAATCTTCAGCAATCTACGTGAAAGTCTTCAGATTACAGCCTTCTGGAAGTCGTCAGATTGTAACTTCCATCATCGCTGGTTGATGGGGGATAAGCTATCTATTGTGATTTTTTTAGACAGCCTACACATCCTCACTTATTTTTGGCAGTAGTTAAAATATTCTATTGTAAATTCGCATGTAACACTTACATGCTAATTTTAGAATTTTAAAAAAAAATCCTTATATTTTGCTAAATTTATTGTTAAGCCTATCTTAATTTTAGTTTAAAATAGAACAGATCTGAGGTAGGTTTAAAATAGAATTAAAATAGACAGACTTCCCAGTAAATTTAACAAAATTTTAGGGTTAAAAAGGTCTAAGATTAGCACATGAGCATAATATGGATATTTTCAAACATTTGTTCTCACGTCTGCATAACAAACGGTACCTAGGTGCAAGTTTTTAGGACTTCAGGGTTTTTGGAGGGTATGCAACTAACAATTAGGTATTTAACTGCAAATTAGCCATATTTTCATGAAAGTATTCTTGATCTATCCAACCATAGATCAGCGTACATGCCTGCGCGTGCCATACCATTTTATGAGCAAATGCTTTGGTAGCCCATGCATACAACTGTGACTTAGCTGACTAGTTTAGTTTTCATTTTATAAGAGCAAGTGCATCAAGCTCCCGGTTGGGAGTCCTAGTCAGCAAGCTCTCAAGAGCTCTCAAGCATTTTGAAATAAAAAATTATAAAAATAAGTTTTGGTAGCACCTCCTTATTTTATGAAGCTCCAACAATATAAAAAAAAACTCCTCTTCTATAAAAAAAACCTCACTTCTATTGCAAAGATACAAAGGCCAAAGACTTTTTTGTAAAAAAAAATATTTCTTTAAGGCTTGGGTTTAAAAGTAGGGGGGTTTTTGTAAAAAAAAAATTTTAATGCTTAGGAGCTCTCAAGAGCTCTGGTGGGCCCCACTGGCCACATCAGCCCAGGGAACCCCTTGAGAGTTTGTTGGAGGGGGGTTTAAGAGCTTCCACCGCCACGTAGGCCTTGAGAGCGACGGTGAGAGCTTGGTGCACTTGCTCTAATAACATTGAATGATGAATGATTAATGGGAGAGTAATAATTAACTACGAAAGGGACTACAAAGCCAATCCTTTTATGAAACCCTGGATGAGGAGATCACTCTACGCTTCTTTAACACCGAAAAATAGCAAATTGATTTATTAGTTTTTCAAATATACTTTCGGTTCGTGTGAAGTGAGTGAGTGACTCCAAAATAAAGAAACCGAAAAAAATAATAATACTTTAAACTGGGTTTCCAAGAAATTCTTAGAATCTCAGCCGCCCAATTTTTCTTGATGGGCTGTTTACGATAAAACGTGGGCTTATGGCAAGCACCGTTATGGACAAGTAACAGAGAGATCGACGTGATTGGTGTTGGTTGGATCCGTCCTGTCATTTTGGTATTTGTTGTGGGCCCATCCAATAAACGAGGTTGCTTCATTAAATTCAGGTACAAATACGGACAAGAAAGCACACGTGACCCCTTCACGGTTCACAGAACGGCTAGTAATTTAGATCTAGCTAGTAAATGTTATAATTTTAAATAAATCATAACTGTTTTGAAAAAAATTGTTATATACATCAAGTAAATCTAGGAAGTGATTGCTTTTTCAGCCAAGCCATGACTTGGATTTTCTTACAATCTCTTTTAGATTATAATTTGAATTGAATATAGATAAAGTTGCTAATCATTTACTATAGTGCGCTATCAAGAGATGGAAATAATAAAATTTAGATATGAGTAATAGCGTTGATATCATCACGGCCTTGTATTTTGATAGCTCATTTATCAAAATGAACAATATGTTCAATCCATTATCTCTATTATTATATATCTGTTATTATTTTAGGCTGAAATCCATTTATACTAAAATTAATTAAACATCGCATTTTAGAAGATCAAATTATAAAAAGGGATATATGAGAAAG